AATTGCATTTAAATATCTCCGTTTTGGAACAAAAGTCTACTTTCTCAATTCTAAGTGGAAAACATGTTTGTTTTATACTTTTAGGAAGCAACTAATAGCATTTGGCCGTCATGGGCTAGAGATGTCTAGGATGAACATCAAGATCTCTGGGGAAATATCCAAGTTGTCTTTTGGGAAGAGATCCCCCATAATTCCAGTGTATGTGGTTTATTTTGCATTCAAAAGACCCTGTCATCTTCTGTCACTCTTCCAGCTGAAGGATCTCAGAACTTCCTTACTCTGGTTACTAAATTAAGATCCTGTCTGGATTAACACAGTCTGCTCAATAAACCACTAAACATTTTGTGCTAAGTCACCTTCCACCCACTCAGCACATGGGATGCGAAGTTGAAAAGGTGTTTTGAGACAAATATCTCCTTAAAGAAGATGCATCTTGCATAGGTTCACACGAACAGTGTGAGATCTTGGAAATGGGCATGTTTGAATTAAGGAAGTCCTGACAGGTTCCCTCTTTCCACCCACCTCCCCATGGCATTTTTCTACCTTTGGATCTGAAGCACAGCACATCACCTGGGCACCTGTTAAAAGTTTACATTTAACCTGATAAACCTTGACAGCTTGAAGATATCTGAACTTCAATTCCCAGCATGCCAGCTGGAAAATTCTGAGTAGGAGAAAAAGAAGCAGAAGTTGGAGGAGTCAAGAGAGGAACCAGTCTGGAGTGGTTATGCTCACACCAGCAACCCAAGAATCTGTGGAATCTGTTAACTCTTATTTTGCACCAAGTTAATGTTGACATTAAGTTGACTAGATTCTTGTGTTTAGGCATTAGCAGTAAATCATCTTAGCTGGAACATAATGTGTGGTCCCGGCCTGACATTAATCTCACTAAATTGGCACTAGATAAGAGTTAACCAAATTCAAGATGGACTTGGATTATTTAGTAGAATGTAAGGATTCTAGGCTGATTCCTCTCCTGACTCCACCCCTAGGCTCCATGTCTGTCTCCTATATTCTGGGAGTTGAAGTCCGTACATCTTCAAACTGCCATGGTTGAGAAACATTGTGATAAGGGGTGGGATTGGTTGAACCAATCAGACAATCTCCCTCTCAGGCTACAGAACTAAAGGGAATGTTCTGAATTTTCAGAGGCTTAGGAGCCATAGAGGCAGGAACCAATAGGAAGGTGCAATCCCTTGCGTCATTCACTTGGCCTTGGGTACAAAGGTTGCATATTTTCTTTTTCCAAAGAAAGCAGGTTTTTACCTCTTCCTGGGATGTATGCAAACTTCTTTCTTGTGATGGCATTTTGTAAATTGGCTCCTCCTGGAGAGGGAAGAAGTCAGGATTTCCAGACAAAATTGGCTGTTTGGGAAAGACAGAAATAACGGATTGTTGCCAATTTGCTGAAGTTTCTCTCTCTGTGTGCATGTGTGATTGTGTGGTGTGTGTTGTTGTTGTTGTTCCTAATAATCTAGCCCTGAGGATTCTGGCAACAGCTTTTAAGGGTTACATCCACACCTAGAAATGCATTGGATGAAATAACTCAGCACCATACTGTTGTAGTTTTTTGTTGTAAACATACAAAACGTGACTCCAATTAATATGAATTGATAAAGTTTTCATATTGTTGCAGTTTCCCACACTATTCTTAAACTTCTTGAAAAGTGTAGCATTATTTATTACGTCTGCATTTCCTTTTCTGCTCAAAAGACTGAATTTTGACTTATAAGTGTAACACTTTGGGAGATTCTATTTAAGTTTGTGGTGTGTCATTTTTAAAGGGTGAAAGATAACTGGGGAAAGGTGTTGAGAAGATAAAAGATCCCTGTTAAATGAAATGTGACGAAGAAACTGAACGTTATGGTTCCAGATGAAACAGTAGATTAGGGTCTGCCCAATTTCTTATCTGATAAAGGGGTGGTAGCCTCTATTGCAGGATACAATTATTTAATGAAATTAATTAACAGAATCAGCTAGGAAGTGACTTCTCCAGGATCCTAAAATTACTGGGTTTTTATGGAAAAAGATTTTGGAACTCTACCTTCATTTCAAAGTAATCAGAAAGGAATTAACTCTTCCATTTTAACTTTATAAGAGACTGAAGGCTATGTGAACAGAAAAAGACAACATGATTCTTGACATATTGATCTCACTCGGCTAAAAAGAGTTGGAAAATTCAGTGAAGTTTTGTATTGTGTAGAAAATTCCTTGCTTTTGCAAGAGTGGGCACAGCTGGGATCTTTGGGGAATATTTTTTTTTACCCCTGGATGTGTTAATAGTTTTGAATGTACCTCTCATAATTCCCAATCAGGATCCATATTGATTGAGAATTCGTTTATGTGTTTCTCTATAGTGCCATTGTCAGAGTAGGAAAATTTTGGCAAAGTGGACCTCCGATATTATAATGCAAAGGATGTAGGAGAAGAGCAGGCAGGGCCTGGGGATGGAGTCAAGCAAGTAATGAGTCTAGAGTCCTTACATTTCTACAAATGTCTAAGTCTAACCCCTCAATCAATCAATTCACTCTCATCTATCACCAATTTAGTGCTGACTCTTAATTGACTAGATTGTTTTCTATAGGCACGAGCAATAAACCATCTGAATTGGAACTTACTGTGTGATCCCAATTCTTCCTGTCTGACAAGAGCAGGGGCCTCCAACCTTGGCAACTTTAAGACTTGTGGACTTCAACTCCCAGAATTCTCCAGCCAGCCAGAGAATTCTGGGAGTTAAAGGCCACAAATCTTAAAGTTGCCAAGTTTGGGGACCCCTGTTCTAAGATGTCTTATTGCACTGTCTCTCCTCCTCCTCCTGAGTCCTTTCCAGATATCTTATTGTACTGATAGAAGACAATATTAGTAGCTGAGGGTTGAACTGTGGGGTTCAACCACAGTTGAAGAGGGCCCCAATTCAGTGGTGGGATTCAAAAAAATTTACTACTGGATCTATGGGCGTGGCGTGGCGGGCGTGGCAGGGGAAGGATATTGCAAAATCCCCATTCCCTCCGGACTCCTGGGGGAAGGTTATTGCAAAATCCCCATTCCCTCCCCACCCCACTAACCTGCTTTCCAGCTCTGTTCTCCTGGGCAGGGCAACCAAAGAAGAGCCAGCCAATCATCTGGGACTCAGTGGGAGGCAGAGAATAGATGGGGGCGGGGCCAGTCAGAGGCGGGATTTGCCGGTTCTCCGAACTACTCAAAATTTCCGCTACTGGTTCTCCAGAACTGGTCAGAACCTGCTGAATACCACCTCTGCCCCAATTTTTCCCCTAAAACAAAGCCTCTGATCATTGCAGGGCCATTTCCTGAGAAGTGATGGTATCACCAGAAGAATGAAGCCAAAACTTTGTGAAATGAGGTGGGGAAGCGTCCTCTTATTTCTAAGGTTTTAAAACATTTAAAAAACAACTTTTCTTTTTAATGTTTTGGTGAAGATAGGAGAACTGCAGATAAAAGTCACTGTGCTGGAGAAGTTAGAAGGAGATTAATTCTAGGGTGGAAAGGAAACACAGACTGAGTCAAGATCATGAAGAATAAGGGCACTTCAATGCGGGGAAAAAAAGATTACAATTTCAGCAAGAGCCTTTTCAGTGGTGTTGTAAAGCCGAGTACCAAGGAAAATGAAGCGATGTAGAGATACCCTCAAATGAATGCAGATCTGGTTACTGAAAGTACCATGGATTGATTGGCTCTTGAACTGATGAAATTGTTGGAAGTTAACACCCACCCCTCTCCTAGGAAAATGAAATATTTTAGGATATACTAAAAAGGCAGGATATTTCCTCTAAAAAAGAAAAGTAGAAACTCAAAGAGGCAGAAACTCATCCCCTCTCCACTTTTGCTAATGGGCCAATGTATGTATGTGTATATGTACATGTATATGTATATATATGTATGTATGTGTATTCTGTTGTGAGCAGAGGAATGTAGTACTCTTCTCGTGAAATACTTCTGGACTCGCTCAATTGTATTAGTGTCTGATATACATTTCTGCTACCGGTTCTCCAGAACCTGCTGAATACCACCTCTGCAAAGCATGTATCTTCAATTTTAATAATTAAGAGAACGGGTGTGTCAAATTAGGTTATAAATAGAAAGACTCCAAACTTTAAACAATATTGTTTGGAACTGCCTTCCTCTTTCTCTCTCTCTCTCTCCTCCCCCCCCCTTCCTTCAAATATCTAATTCAAATTCTGTCAGTCAAAGTGTATCAACAACCCCATGCAACCAACCAGGTGCCAATTTCCCTTCTAAAGTTCTGTAACACAACTTTTCACTAAGGGACCTGAAACCAAAACCAAAACCCTAGGCAAGCTGCAGCTCTTGATCCCATCATGGCAGGCTATAACTTTAACTTCAAAAATGGGAGCAAGGGAATATTATTTCTGATTTAGGGGAAGGGGTGTAGAGGGGAGGGTGTGCCCCATTCCATTGAAAGAGAGCCTGAGTCACCTTGAAGGCCTATCCCAGGGGTCTTCAAACTTGACAGCTTTAAGACTGGTGGACTTCAACTTCCAGAATTCCTCCTCGTCAGGTTAGCTCAGGAATTCTGGGAGTTGAAGTCCACCAGTCTTAAAGCTGCCAAGTTTGAAGACCCTTGGCCTACCCTTTCAGGGCAGCATTTCTGAACCCTGGCAACTTTAAGACTTTTGGACTTCAACTCCCAGAGTTCCTCAGCCAGCTTTAGGGCAGGGCTCTCCGACCTTGGCAACTTTAAGACTTTTGGACTTCAACTCCCAGAGTTGAAGAGTTGAATTCTGGGAGTTGAAGTCCACAAATCTTAAAGTTGCCAAGGGTGGAGACCCCTGCTTTAGGGTTGTAAATAGCATCGTAAAAGGCAGCTGTGTGGGCAGCCCTCGCCTCCTTCAAACCCTGAAGCGGATCCCGGGAGGCCACTCCCGAAAGATCTCCTTGCTTTTAACCTCCACCCGGTGGAGTTCTCAGCACATCCCCTTCGCACGTGGTCTCAAACACCGCCCATCTCGTCCTGCCTGTACTTTTTTTTTCCCTGTCTCTCCTTTTTGCTTTCCACCACTTGATCCTTGGCTCCTATATTTAGCTCGTCCCCAGGGTGCTATTTCGACTGCATGGCAAGTCGTTTATAAGTCCCTGGCTCGCCACTCCCCCTTTTCCTCTCTTCCCTTGGTCCAACTTGTAGTTGAGTTAGCGCAAAACAAACTTTCCCCTTTCTTTCCCAAACTCCCCCTTTTTTAACGCCACAAGCACTTTCCCTCTTTCTTCTTTCCCTACATAAACAATCCGATCCCCTCCTCAACCCTTAGAAGTGTTTTGAAAACAAGAGACCCAACCTCGGGGGGCGGATCATCATTCCCCCGAGCTGTGTTTTGATCCATACGTACATAAACAAGACACGTGTCTCTCTCTTTGGACCTCGAGCGTGTGGACGGACGCCCGATTGGACGGCTTGAAGCCATGGGGCAAGCGGAGGAGCTGATCCGGACGGCCAAAAAGTTGGATAAGATGGTGTCGAGGAAGAACACGGTAAGGGAAACAAAATAAAACTTCGTACTACGTGTTTCTTACGTTGCGCTTTTTGGCTGGCTCGCTCCTTCGCTCTTTTGCTACCAACAATCGCGTTTTTCAGGCTTTGGGGGAGGTTTGTGCAATCCGCGCCGTGGGTTGTTTTTCAAGTCGCTTTCGGTTGCCCTTCGGAAGGTTTGCAAATCGTTCAGCAGGCGAAGAGGCGTAGTAGCGTCTTTGGAAAACGCGCGGGGGGAGGGGAGGGGAAGGGGAAGTGGTTTTACATTCATGTAACCTTGGCTGAGTCAGTAGTAGCCATTCACTCTGCGATCTCCTCTACTTACTTGAAAGTTCCAGCTTTTTTTCACCCCACCCACCCACCCCCCATTCCCACGTGCGTGTATTCAAGCTGAACTCACATCCGAGTTGCAAGTTAACTTTCAGACCGAGAGCCTCCTGATGGCGGAAGGGAAGGTTTTGGGAAACAGGTGCTTGGCAAAGGCTGGAGCTCTTAAATTTGATCTTGGGGCATGGCTCCTAACGCAGGGATAGTGTGGGAGAAGTAGAAATAACAGCAGGAGGAGGAGGAGGGAAGGGGGCTATCTGCTTTTGGTAAGGTGGAGTGGCCCACATCCCTATTTTTTAAATCGAACATGACACCACCCAGCCTAAAATTTTGGAAGACACCAGGCCAATGGGAACCCTTGGGTGAAGCAGGAGAAGGACTTCTATGAGTATAACAGAGTTGGAAGGATACCGGTACTTTGGATACCTTCTGGTCCAACCAACTGTTCAAGCAGGAACCCCTATACAATTTCAGACAAACGGCTTTTCCAGCCTCTCCTTAAAAACGTCCAGTGTTGGAGCACCCACAACTTCTGGGTGGCCAGTAGATATTTACTAGCAATTACGATACTAACCTAGATTATTTGTTGGTCATATTCAAGGTCTCAGCTAAAGGCCCTTGGAGATTGAGAAGGGAGCAAGATGTTAGAAGTGTATAATTAAGCTACAAAATCTATTTTGATTTGAGCCAGCAGGCAGGAGGAGGCAGTCCTGCTTTTCTTCCAGTAGTACATGTTTCAGCTTCATCAAATGTTTATTTGCCCAACCTTGGCTGTATGTAGACTTTTCCGCTGGCGTTGGATTCAACTTGGTTCAACAAATCCATTCCAGGGCCTACTCTTCTTACAACCTTTATTCATAGTGGGTCTGGTTACTTTGTTGCTGATAATTGATATTTTTAAAATGGTTTTATATCTTGCCTTTATTATTTTTACAAATAACTCAAGGCAGTGAAGATATCCAGCACATCTTCTTCCTCTTCCTATTTCCCCCACAACAACAACCCTGTGAGGTGAGCTGAGCTGAGAGAGAGGGACTGGTCCAAAGTCATCCAGCCGGTTTTCATGGTGGGACTTTGCTTTGGTCTCCTGCTTTCTAGCCTGGTTCCTTAACCTCTAGACCAGGGGTGTCAAACTCGATTTCGTTGAGGGATGCACCAGGGTTGTGTTTGACTTCAGAGGGCTGGGGTGGTGTGGCCACCTCGACATCACTCGTGTCGGGGGCGCCTGTGGTGGCCCAAGTGCTCAGCCAGCAAAAACAGGCTCCCGAGCTCCGTTTTCGGCTGTAGTGGTCTCCTGCAACCCTCAGCCAGCAAAAATGGAGCTAATGAGGGTCGCATGTGGACTTCCTGAGTTCCATTTTTTGCTGGCAGAGTCACTGCAGGCTGGTTTTTCACTGTTTCCGGGTCAGCCTCATGGGCCAGATCTAAGCACCCTGTGAGCTGGATTCGGCCCGTAGGCCTTGAGTTTGACACTCCTGCCCTGGCTGGGGAATTCTGGGAGTTGAAGTCCGCCAGGCTTAAAGTTGCCAAGGTTGGAGACCCCTGCTCTAGACCAAAGTGACTCGCTCTTCTATCACTATCCAGACTCTATTCATAGTGAATGAGGTTATTTCATTGCTGATAGTAATATTGTTGTTGCCTAACCTAGGGATAAGCCAATTGGAGGTTAAGAATTATTCCTGACCCTCATATTTCCTTTTTGGTCTCTCAGAAGTCCCACTAGGCATGGCTGTTGAGAATGCAAGACAATTTATTCCATTTTTTTTCATACGAAAAAGAATAAATCCCCAAATAGACAAATGACACTTAAAAAACAAAAACAAATGCCAGCTTTTCTCCAGAAGTCAACTCTCACCTATAAATATGATGTGGTCTGTCTCATTTGTGCCCCCTCCTCAAAGGGTGTTCCTTGGCTTCTGGAACCTATCCAGACTTAACAAAACAAACAGGATGATGTACGGAAATTCAGAAGAACATATAATTCATCTACTAGATTAAACTGGGGAGGCGTATCTAACTTTAAATGCTCACACTGGGCCTTTTCAAAGGTTCAATTAAAAAGACATGTCTTGAATCTGAAAGCAGAAAAAGAAACTAATTGACACTTTGGCAAGTAAAGAACAGAAGTTGTCCGCCTGTAATATTTTATAAACCTTATATGGGGGCTGCTTCTATCAGCTATCATTTTTTTTTATAAGGGCTCCTGTTTAAAAAAACGGTGAGAAGGCTAGACTCTTAGAATAGTCTTAGAATAACAGAGTTGGAAGGGATCTTGGAAGTCTTCTAGTCCAACCCCCTGCTTAGGCAGGAAACCTACATCACTTCAGACAAATGGTTACCCAACATCTTTTTTAAATCTTCCAGTGTTGGAGCATTCACAACTTCTGGTGGCAAGTTGTTCCACTGATTAATTGTTCTGTCAGGAAATTTCTCCTTAGTTCTAGGTTGTTTCTCTCCCTGATTATTTTTTTATTTTATTTATTTATTTTGTCAAGTGATTATAAGATTACAGGTATAAGTATAGACATAGTTATGAGTACATGATAAAAAAGAAACAATAAGACAGGGACAGTAGGCACATTGGTGCACTTATGCACGCTCCTTACAGACCTCTTAGGAAAGGGGTGAGGTCAATAGTAGACACTCTAAGGTTAAAGTTTTTGGGGTTTGGGGAAGAAACCACAGTGTCAGGTATAATACAGATTAGTTTCCATCCATTGCTTCTTGTCCTACCCTCAGGTACTTTGGAGAATAGCTTGACTCCCTCTTCTTTGTGGTAGCCCCTGAGATAGTGGAACACTGCTATCATGTCTCCCCTAGTCATTCTTTTCATTAAACTATAGACATACCCAGTTCCTGCAACCGTTCTTCATATGTTTTAGCCTCCAGTCCCCTAATCATCTTTGTTGCTCTTCCCTGCACTCTTTCTAGAGTCTCAACATCTTGTTTACATTGTGGTGACCAAAACTGAATGCAGTATTCCAAGTGTGGCCTTACCAAGGCATTATAATTGGCACATGTTTCAAAAATGAGAATCGTGTTTGCTTCACTGTCATTCTTATTCCCTTTGGTTTATCGTAATTATTCCAGAAACCTATTTAAGCGGAAAGATATATTTTGTCCTTTCATGCCAGCAGAAGCAATGCATCTGGTTAGAATCGGAGGCTTTAGCCTTTTAAATCCCCGAAATGTAAGCATGAAACACACTGAGCACTCTACAGCAAGATGATTACATCTTGAAGTTAATGTTTGACTTTCCTTGCAAACTTTGTTCTAGCCTGGGTGGACTACAAATAATTTCTTTAATCTTATTTTCCAGGTTCTCCCTTCAACTATAAAGGTGGACAGCTGGTAGTGTTCTTCCCACAGTGGAAACACTGTGCTGAAACATGATTAGAAATTCTGATTTGTGGGGAGGCCAGCCTGGGTGGACAGGCCACTAATTTTCTTTAGAATGAAGAAACAGTCAGTGGACCTTGAAAAGGGCTGCAGGGTTGCAGCGTTGAGCTTCAATATGTTTCTGGAATAACTAAGATAAGCCAAAGGGGATAAGGATGACAGTGAAGTAAACACGATTCTCATTTTTGAAACATGTCCCAATTGCAGTGTTGTCAATGTTTCTCATTCCATTTTGCTTTTTAATAATTTAGAAAAGTAAACTCTCGTCAAGTTAAGTTTGGCTCTTGATCATGTCATGAACACATGCATATTGTTTTGTTGGCAATAATATGCAAACAATGTGCCACTGCCTTCTTCCAGGCTATTTTTTTTGACTTCCCAAGCCAGTCTTCAGCCATGGAATTTCCTGGTGTCTAGCATTGACTGACTCTGCCACCAAGGAGATAACGTTAGCAAGCACACAATGTATTAAATATTTTGTTTCTTGATGTTTTAATAGTTTTATTGTGAGCTATCTAGAAATGTGGAGTAGGTGGCATACAGAGGTATGTAGGAATAAATAATCTGGGCCTTTAGGTGAGGAAACTTTGCTTATCTCTAGAACTGACTAACATGATCGAAATGGCTCAGTGCAATGTCCCTTCCGTTTCTGATATTCATACACCACAGCGTGAAGACAACAACAAAACGAAGCATAGGTTTTATTGCTCTTTCTCTTTTTCTCTCTCCTCCTCTACCGCCCATCTTTCTGCTCTTCCCTAGCTTTCAAAACGAGTAGAAGATTGGCAATTGCAGGGAACTGAATCTATGCAAGAGACAGATGGCAAAGTTATATATTGGATTTATCTTTGGCCTTCAAAGGTATTCAGGTGGGGGATGATATTGCTGAAACAGGTTATTAGCAGGCTCGGAAAAGATATCAGGATATATATACAGTGCTTTATGGAAGCTTTTAACCACCTCTTTTACTTACGGTGTTTTGATATAGGATGAAGTACCAATAAAGGAGATTATTTATGGCCTGCGGTTAAAATGAGGGGGCTTTGGTGCTCTCTGTGCTTGGTTGTTTTCTTGCAGACTTTTCATTATCTAAACTAGGTAACATCATCAATGCACCAGTTTGGGTAATGAAACTTCTGCAAGAAAATTCCCTTCCAGATTGTCTTGTTTCATTTTTCTCTACCATGGCAGCTGGAAGATGTACAGACTTAAACTTTCAGAAAGCTAGCTGGGGAACGCTGGGAGTTGAAGGCCACATATCTTTAAGCTGCCAAAGTTGAGAAACACTGATCTATTTCATGGATATGTTCTTATTAATGTCAGAAATTAGAGAAAGAATTTTTTTTTTTATTCCCCGTGTCTGTAACTAACAAATCCAGTTGGGAATATCTATTGCCCGAAGATCACCCGATCAATGTCTTCAGACATCTCGTTTGCAATTTATCTTGGCTAATGCCCCAAATAGCGATAGTGATTATGATTGAAAAACTGGCATGTTCCAATTTAATTTCCAAGCCTCCTGCCTCATATTTTATTTATAGCAAGGTCTTAGAGAAGCCAAACAGAAACTCTTAGGAAATACTTTAAAAAAATGAAAGACTTGTGAAGGAGGTAAGGGGCTAAAAGATCAAAATATATACAGGAGATTGTGAGTTCTAGTTCCATTTTAGGGATGGAAGTAGGCTGGGTGACTTTGGGCCAATCATCAGGTGACGGTGAGTTCTAGTCCCTCCTTAGGAATGAAAGCCAGCTGGATGAATTTGGGCCAATCGCTCTCTCTCTCAGCCTAACCCACGTCACAGGGTTGTTTTGGGGGAAAATAGGAAGAGGAAGGAGGATTATGCCTGTGGACCACTTTGAGTTACTTATAAAGTAATAAAGGTGGGCTGAAAATGAAATAAATAAAAGTGAATGTTTTGGGACCAGCTGCATTCAAGATGGGAGGCGTTTTTACGAGAGCGTTTGCAACCTCTGTGTGCTTTAGAAGAGGCACTTTTTGCTCTCGGAACATTTAAAGGATGAAAAGGAAAGAAAAACAGAAACTGAAGTATAAATGATGCCTTCTGGGCTCTTTCTCCCCCTCTTAGGAAGGAGCTATGGACCTCTTGAAGAAACTGAATAGCTGTACCATGAGTGTTGAGCTGCTGCAGGTAAGGCTGCGTTGCTTGGTTCTCTTGAGAAATGTAGATTTGAACCCATTTAACAGGCCTTTTAACTCCAGGCATTCCTGTGTTTCAGCTATGAAACAGGCAGTCTTCATCTAACGATGGTTATGGGGAACAGCATCTCCGTTGCTAAGTAATACAGTTTTAAAACAAGATGCAGTGGTGGGATTCAAATAATTTAACAACCGGTTCACCCAGGGTCAGGTTGGCTGTCACGGGAGGCGTGGCCTATCACCATCCTCCAGCTCCGCCCCATATGTGGAACGAGCCTCCCACGATGGCCAACCTGACCCTGGGCAAACTGGTTGTTAAATTACCCCTCTCCCCGCTATCAAAGCGGGTCCTGGGCGCTGTGCTCCAATGGAGAAATGGGCCACGGAGTGGTCAGCATGAGGGAAGGAGAAGGAGCAGGGTGAAGAAAGAGGGAAAGCGGCCTTCTCCTTCCCTTGCACCAACCACTCCGTTACTGGTTTTTCCATTGCAGTGCAGTGGCCAGGATCCACTTTGATAGCAGGGTGGGTGGGTAATTTAACAACCCCTTCGCTTGAACCGGTATGAGCCGGCTAAATCCCACCACTGGCAAGATGTCATGTTATTGTGATGGTTATCAACAGCAGTTCTGGCACTTCCGGTTGCCATCATTGTGATCATTAAGCACAATGACACATGCTTAATATGGTCATGGTAAGGATAGTGAAAATTACTGATAGCAGAACCAGCATGGAAAACAGACATCTCTTGCAAAGAACTGTCATCAGCCTGTATTAGGTTAATTTCAGTTTTCCTCCAGGAATTGCAGATGAATTTCTTTATTCCTGGTATCCACTTTGTCTTCTCAACAGCCCTGAGAAGGGAGGCTGAGAGAGAAGAAGAGAATCAAAGCCATCCAGTAAGCCAGCATTTGAGGACACTTAGATATCTTTCACTTCTAGTCTGATGCATGGTTGGGAAAGCTGAAGATAATTTTAATACATTTTAAGTCTATTTTACCCTTGAAGATCGCATCTCCCAAGTGTGACACCAAATTGCTCCTGACGTTTTAAGAATTTGTCTGATCACCTTTGTATTTATGGTGTCCTCCCTTATTACCCAATGTGGTTTAATGCTGGTTTTGTTAAATGGTTTATCATTTTCTTTTTGCTTGGTTTCAATCAGGACTACTTGCCAGGGAACACCAGAATCTGCAAGATATCAAAATGGAGGCCCATCTCTTTTCATTATAGTTGCACCCAATTGTGTAGATTTTCACAAGCCGCTAACCCCCAACACATGTGGATCTTTTTAATGCACTGCCACTTACTGTTTGGCAATTGAGGGGTGCTGTAAATGGATCTAGTAAATAAATAAACTGGATACATGATTTCCGATTGTTTTCATTGGTGGTGAGGAAGAATTAAGGAAATGAAGCATCTTGAGGAAAGGAAGGTCTTCCCTATCTTGACATCCCTTGATGTCATGATGATGATTTGAAAATGGGGATACTGAGATTCTTCTCCCCACAAAGTATGGATTCCAGTAATGTAAATCCTTCTTTGCTTTGTTTCAGACCACCAAAATTGGTGTGGCTGTCAACACAGTGCGTAAGCATTGCTCAGACAAGGAAGTGGTGGCGCTGGCTAAACTCCTTATCAAAAACTGGAAGAGGCTATTAGGTAAGAATCCAGCGGTTCTTTATGATGGATGATCAGAAATGGCAATCATCAGATTTGGGGAATTCTTAGATGCGAAGAAAATGATGGGATGGAATCATCTTTTAACAATCCCGTAATCCCTTTTTGGGGTGGAATCTAGGCAACTGAATGGAGCTGAGTGTTTACTGGCCGGATGCCCTTCCTGTCCCCAGTGTGAAGTTTTGTTCGGTAGATATATTCTCATTGTGCCCAGAGACAGAAATACCTGCCTCCACCTAGGATCGAACTCAAAGCCTCCTGACTGTGAGGTGAGAGCTCCACCTCTAGGCCACCGCACCACTCAGAATGATGGACTGGCATCCTGGATACAAAATGGCTTTCCAGTTTAGTTGTCCTGAGTAGATGCTTTAATCTACCCCATTTTCTCTTGTTTGCCTCTGTGGTGCTGCATCATGGAACTTTTTAACTAGCTATCCCCTATTTTTAAAGATGATCTGTCTGCAGTACTTTTGAAAAAAAAGAGTGTAACTTATTTTTAAAACTTAACCTTGTTTATTGCAACTAATTGCCCTGCTCTGGGGTTATTATTTTTAACTGTGAATGTGTAGGACAAAAATAGTACAAATTGGGAATAAATGTAATCTTTGTTATAAAAGAAGGGATTTAGATATAAGCGGCATTTGCCCTTAATTCCACTTTTTCCCCTTGACAAATAGAATGATTTGTAATGACACAACTTGGGAGAAAGGTTAGCATAAGGGATTCAGATGTTTTTCAATCCCCTTTTCTTGAGAAGAAATTTACTTTTAACGCCTTTGATCCTCATCAATCCAACCAAAGCGAGAATACCAAGGGCTGAGTGACAATGGCACTTTTCACGGTCACCGAGTGGTGTCCTTACATTGTTCAGTTGGCTACCTGAACTTTTTCTTCCAGAGTCATCTGGGACACAGAAAGGGAAGAAAGAGAAAGACATAGCTGTCTCTGGCTGGAAAGCTGAAGGGGCCCTTTCCAACTCTGTGGATGTCTGCAAAAATCCTGATAGAAAACAGAAAGACAGGTATTGGCATTTTCAAGCTGTTTGCACAAATCTGTCAGTAGTGCAACAAACAGCTAGGGTAACGGTGTTTTGCAAATACCATGCTGGGTAAACTTGAGCAGAATTGGCTGCAGATAGCCCTTGAGTACCTAACAAGGTTAAATCATGGCAACTGGACCAAAGTTTATTAAACTGAAAGATTTGGTTACACATCCAAGTAACTTCTTCGGTCAAAATAAAAATTTAGTTAGGCAGAGTTAGAGAGTCATTGGAATGTACTAACTCTGGCCCATACCAACTGCAGGGGTTTCTCCCCAAAATGTATTGCGATAGGTAAATGAAGACTCAGTCATTAAGGCCAGGGGTCTTCAAACTTGGCAGCTTGAAGACTAGTGGACTTCAACTCCCAGAATTCCTCCTCCAGTCATGTTAGTTCAGGAATTCTGGGAGTTGAAGTCCACAAGTCTTAAACTTGCCAAGTTTAAAGACTCTTGATCTCGGCCAAATTGTCATTTTGACTGAAGAATTTAAGTGGATGCGTAACGAAACGTCTCCGTGTAATAAACTTTGGTCCAGTTGCCTTGATTTAATCTTTTTAGATACTTTTGGCCTGGATGATTCAGTCTTCATTTACATAGGTAGTCCTCAACTTACAACCATCTGTTTTAGCGACTGTTCAGTTACAGTGCCACCGAGAAATGTGGCTTACCACTGGTCTTCACACTTAACTACCATCGCAGCATCCCCAGAGTCTTCCTTGGGCTCCCTGCCGTGGGGTACACCCACTTCCTCCTGCAAATTACGCCTTGCAATTCTTCTCTCCCTTTCCTCTCGCTCCAAAAAGATCGCAATCGTATCCCGCCGATTCGGGTTTCCAGCCACGTTGTGATCCACTAGTGAGGTTGCCATCTCGGATGGAGGCATCGCAGTCTCCCTCTCTTGCTCGCTCTGAACTTCGCGCGGACCAAAATAAAAAGATCGCCCGCCGTCATGTTTGGAGCTGCCACTTCCGCGTTTGGAGCTCCAAATGGCGACGGCACTCCAAACACGGAAGCGGCAGCTCCAAACGTGGCGGCGGAATGGGCAGAAGGGAAAGCAACAGCGGCGTGTGCCAAAGGTGTCTGCAGCAAGGTGTTTGGTGGGAGTAGGGAGTTCTCCGCGCTTCGCCATGATCGCCCGTTAGGAGCGGCTGGTGGTGAGGAATTCCTGTCCGCCGGGCGCTCCTAACGGCAAGTCTCCCTGCCCTTCCCCCTTATTTTGCATATTTTAAAATAGGCCTAAATTTGGGGGGAGGGGCTTAATTTGATTTTATGCCCAAAAAACATGCTGGGCCTTCCTATTGGTGGAGGCCGTATTGTTGGAGAAACATGGTAGATAGATGATAGATAGATAGATAGATAGATAGATAGATAGATGATAGATAGATAGATAGATATAAAGTATGATAAAATTTATTCCAGTTTCATTTTAAATTGTATTTATCCAATTCCATTTTAAATTATTTTTATCAGATTTTAGTAATGATTTGTGTCTGGAATTCTGCACTTTGATGTGGCCCAAGGACTAATCAATAAAGTAAACTAACTATTTTGATATAGAAACTACAGTTTCTATATCAGGAAAGTGCGTTTTACAGGATAAACAAGGAAGTGCGTTTTACAGGATATACATTCTAATGCAGTGTTTCTCAACCATTAGCAATGTTAAACTGTGGACATCAACTCCCAGAATTCCCCACCCAGCATGCTTTCTGAGAATTTTAGTCCACATAGTTTAATGTTGTTCAGGATGAGAAAGACTTGCTATAGTGCAGGGGTGTCAAATTGGATTTCTTCGAGGGCTGGATCAGTACTGTAGTTCTTTGTGGGCTGGCTGGGGGGTGAGACGCGGGGAGACGCATGCAGCCCCCCCCCCCGTAGCCCATTTTGGCTGGCAAAGTGCTGCAGGAGGCCGTCCAGGCTGAAAATGGGCCGCATGTGGGGTCCTCGTGTTCCCCCGTGCCCCATTTTGTCTGCCAGAGGCACTGCGGGCCAGTCCTCTGCTATTTCCAGAACAGTCCTGTGGGCCAGATTTAAGCACCCCCTGTGCGGCCCATTTAAGCAATCCCTGTGCGGCCTTGAGTTTGACACCCCTATAGTGTATAGTGTTGACACCCCTATAGTATACACCCGTGATGGCAAACCTATGGCACACGTGCCATAAGTCACATGCAGAGCCATTTGTGGTGGCACGCAAGCCTCAGGAAAACTTACTTCACTGCACATGTGTGCGCCTCACAGCTGATTTTTCGGCTGGTTTGAGGCCTTTTTTGTCCTCCCAGAGGCTTGGAAAAGGCCTCTGCAAGGCTTTTCAGGACAAATTATAGGCCCGTTTCGTCACTTACTGGAAGTGACAAAACAGGCCTATAATTCGGCCTGAAAAGCCTTGCAGAGGCTTTTTCCAAGCCTCTGGGAGGCCGAAAAAGGCCTCAAACCAGCTGCAAAATCAACTCTTGAGGTGCAGTGCAGGTAAGGGGGTGGTGGTGGGGGATTGCGTGCGCATGCACAGGGGTCGTGGGGAGGGAGATGCGCATTGCATTCTGGGTGCTGGCACATGAGTGTGTGCACGATGGCGCGCACACAATTTTTGGCACAGGAGCCCAAAAAGGTTAGCCACTACTGGTATACATTATTGCTGTAGTATATCTGGACTGCGCAGCCTGTAGAAAAAACATCTTTTGAATCACCGAATCAAGGCTTAGAGCAGAAAGGGGTGAAGAGAAGGCATTGAATGGGGGGAGCAGTGCTTTGCATTTGATTCGGAGTACGTGGGAGTACAAATGGGGCAGTCCACTCTTTTCCTGCGTTGCAATTGGGGAGGGGGCAGCCACCCCCTTCTGAGCAAAGACAGCCTTTTGAAATCAGAAGAGCTCTAGCGTTTACAAGTAGATTTCCAAGTAATTTGTAATGAATCATAAATCTCTAATTGTTTGATTGTTCTGACCACAACATATTTTTCCACCTACGTCAGACAGTTGAAACCAATAAAAGAAAGAAAAAACATGAGAAATCGAGTGTTTTGAGAAACACTTAAATTGTACAGCTCAGTTCTGGTGCAGAAATCAAATTTCTAGGTTTGGAGTGTGGCTGAAATGGACCCTAAAACAGGGGGAATTGAACAAGGGGACTGTAGGGTTTGCTAAATGTGATTTATCCCTTGGATCTGATTGCTCGATCTTACAGTTTTAGTAAAAAGAATTAGCTCAATATTTGTCTTTGTCTTGCTTCAAAGCAGAAATGGATAATTTTTTGTTGGTAAGTGGTGACATTATTATTAAATGAAAATTATGGTTTATTAGAGTAGAGTAGAGTAGAGTAGAGTAGAGTAGAATAGAATAGAATAGAATAGAATAGAATAGAATAGAATAGAATA